AAAGTAAATCCTTGAGAGCTCAATTTTGGCATGTGGATACATTGTATTTCAGAGCAACTTTTGGCCAAATTTGAATGCTCTAGGACTTTGTTTACCCCCCTGACGATAATAGGTTAAGGTATTGCCCAAGCCAACATTTCCCCTATGTATTTTTTTGAATGCGATAGATTATATCTAATTTTGTAATAATTTTGATATAATCATATCAAGATCTATTATAATTTTGTTATTACTAGAGAGTTGTGAGTTTTGTTATTTTAACAACTAACCAGCCAATGTGTATAACATGTTGTTACTTTTTTTTGTTAAATAAATAACTCCAGTTGATATAATTTTGTTATGCTTTTCTGATCGGGTATGATACAACAACACGTCAGCTTGAACTTCTTTTTGCATATTGAATGTATGGCTAAAATGTTTGGGAAATACACAAAATTCAACTTAAAAAAAATATGACCATCGAACAAAGATACAGCTATTTAAAAAATGGGCCTGAGCACCACTGATTTCAATTGATTGTTAAATGCGTGTTCGATGAATAATTTGCGAGTGTTATGTCTGTTTGTATATTTAACATCGCTTCAAAACATATGTTTCCCCGAAAACCGAATCAGATCCCCCCCCCCTTCTTCGTGTTCCTATTATTCCCGGACAATAATTAATCATCATCTAAATAACATCTTATAAAATTTTGTGAAATAAGTCGAGGTTCAAAACAGAAAAAAATATTTTAAATTGTGGTTCCACTTAAACTACACAGCAAAAAAATAATTTTAATATCACATCAAAGTGGATGCACTTCAATCGTGTCGAAAATATGGTGTAATATTACTTGCCAAAAAGGGCAAAAATATCATTAATACAGTGCATGAGCTAACATTACGTTGCTTTTACTGCATTTGTTTATTTGTGTGGCCATAAAAATTACATGAGATTTTCGACATGATTGAAGTGCATCCTCTTGGATGTAATATTAAAATTTATATTTTGCTGTGTACAGCACTAGAATACCAAAAAAAAAAAACAAATAACGTGAAATAAAAATATCGCCACCTTAGCTTTTAATCAAAGTAAGATTTTATTTCTCAAAATACAACTTGAAGGAGTACTTAGTAATGTGTGTATGGGCCATTGTATCGGACAACTAAATTTAGTCGTGATTTCATGGGCAAAATCAGTTTTTCAAGGGTACCCAAGTAGCCATAGGCACGTTATTTTGCCTTTTTGGATATATACGGGCCTCATCAGAAATTACAAACACTGGTATAGCCGTTGTTCAGCTGTATATAGCCAAAAAGGTGAAATAACGTGCCTATGGTTACTTGGGTATCCTGCTTAATTTGCTCTCAGCATTCTTGAACTCGACGTTTGAGCATTGTTTACCATTTTCGGATTGTTTACCATTTTCTGATTGTTTACCATTTTCGTAAACGCAACGACTAGGTATAGACCACAAGTTTTCAATGGGATTTAGATCCGGAGAACTAGCTGGTCACTCGAGAACCTCTATGATTCTAGCAGGAAACAACGCCTTAGTCAGTTTTGAGTTGAGGATTTCTGCATTGTATTGCTGGAAAACAAAGTCAGGGCCCACAAATTATCTCCAGCATGCTATGCATTTCTTGGACAATTTTTTTTGTTGAAATCCACGGGGAATAAATCCGATTTCATTACAATTTCAACTAAACTTAGACCTCTGCTCGATATGCTAGAAATCAAAACAAATACCTAGCAAATGAGAAGAAGGGTATCTTTTGAACAAGGTGGTGCTATTTATATTTAGTACCGTTTTTAAGAATTTCTCGGCTTAAATGTTAATGTTCCAGAAAATTACCAGCATAACCAATTCCAAAGATGTTCGGTGGACAGGGACATTGCATACAAGTAACATTATGGTGCTATTTTTGTTTCGCTGAGTGTAGCTGGTACGCTTTGGTTCTTTTGCGTATTAAACGTAAAAGGGACAAATGGTAAACGTAGTTTTGTGCAACAAATAGTTATAATCACTCGTACAAGTATACCGTTGCGCGGAGTATACATATTCACAGTCAGCATAGAAAAAACACTGTATCAAAGAAAGATTTATCTGCAGCAGAACAATAGCGAAGAGTTTTGAAAAAAAAACATTGAAAGCTTTTCTAAAACCAGGCGATTGTAAACTATAAGGTTGAACAAGTAGCCGCATCTACGTTTAACGATAATTTCGTAAACAGTATTTTATTGGTCAATAAATCTATTGAATTGGTCGATGAACCCACGGAATCAAGTAAGGCTTGTACTCGAAAAAAATGCACCATTTTTATCCGTGTGTAACTTTTTTATCCGTGGGTAAAAATTGATGAAAATCTGGGTATAACTAGTTTGGAGTAAATTGTTTACATGTGCAAAATTTCATAACAATCGGTTCAGTGGTTATTGAGATATCATCGAAACAAGAAGAAAATCCCCGGAGAATTTTGCGCGCCGTCATGGAAAATCCGACTGCGACCATGAGATGAATCGGAAGACAACCGGGAATCACCCATACAACTGTGTCTCGGGTGGTTAAATCGTTTAAGGAGTCCCAGACGACCGAGCGGCGGGCTGGAAGTGGAAAAAATCGAAGACAGCTGATCCTGTGAAGGCCCGGAAGGTGTTGGATTATTTCAAGCGTAATCCGAACCATTCGATTCGCGACGCGGCTCTGAAGGCAAAGTATTCCGCCTGGTTCGTTCAGCAAACCATGAAACGAGCTGGGCTTCGTGTATTCAAGGTCCGGAAGGCACCGAACCGGCGTGATCAACAAAACACGGCGGCCAAATCTTGCGCAAGGAATGTGTGTGGTTATGGATGACGAAACCTACATCAAGGCAGACGCAAAGCAGATACCGGGGCTGGAGTTATATGTTGCCAAATCACGGTTTGATGTTCCGGAAGTCATAAGGAAGAAGAAAGTGGACAAATTCGCCAAAAAATACTTGCTCTGGCAGGCCATATGCCAATGCGGTAAACTGAGTAAACCGTACATCACAATGGGTACCATCAACAGTGAAATTTACCGCACCGAGTGCCTTCAGAAGCGTCTGTTGCCCTTCCTGCGGTCCTACGGAGGCGAGACATTATTTTAGCCGGACCTGGCATCATGCCATTACGCGCGATCGACGTTGGATTGGTACAGAGACAATAACGTTGTTTTTGTACCAAAAACCGCCAACCCCCCCAAATTCACCAGAGATTCGTCCGGTGGAAAGATTTTGGGCCATAATGAAGGCCAAAGTTCGATAATGATCCAAGGTGTTTAAGAACGAGCTGGAGTTGAAGAAAGAATGGATGAAAGTGACCAAAAAGGTCAGCTCCACCATTTCACAAAATGTAATGAGGGGTCTTAAGGGAAAAGTGCGGGCTTTCAGCGATGGAAAGGAAATTGAATAAAGTAATTATACCGAAAAATAATCCATATGTATTAGTTCATTCCGTGAAAGTTTCATGAAAATCCGACTTAAAATAAATTTTTGGCGAACACTTTTGTCTGGTGCATTTTTTTCGAGTACAGGCCTTAAATGACGAAGTCTATGTTGAAATTGATTGCGAAAAAGTTTATCGCGTTCGGGAAAAATACTTGTATGTGATTATTGATGACAAACTCAAGTTCAATTCTCATATTGACAATGTCATCAACAAAATTACCATGATATACGGTATTCTCTGTCATTTAAAAACTGCTCATTTCATTTCTCCACAGTTAGACTTTTGCTTATCCATTTTGTTCTAGCCAATGAAACATAAATATCGAGATTACAGCGTTTAACGACATTCATTTTTAAGTGTAATGAAAATTCCATAACAAATCGAACATAAATCATGAAACAGTATGCATTTGTCAATTATTTATGAACTACTAGTGTGTTAAGTGTGCACTTTCTGATCACGATATCCAGTAAAATTCCGAAAAATATCTTGAGGCATTTATAGAATAATCGTATGAAAAGCTCAGCTCAGTATAAACATACCGCTAACAACCTGCATATAGTAAAAACATATGTGACGCCTTCAATCGAGAACTGGTTTAATTAACAACACAGCTTATCTTTTTTAAGCTGAATAGGTGAGCGTTTATTGCATCATCATTGTAGAGGCGTGTTTTCCCATGGAGGTGCTATGTATGTATTGTTGTTATGGCCTAGTTAAGAGGATACTGTCATACTTGTCAAATCCCATAGTGATAAAATTTGCTGTCAGTCCCGTGGATTTTCACGATTTGACTTTGGATTTGTTGTCTGTCTCACAGTATCGCGATAATCGTGGGATTTTACTGAGTAAACATGATACAGGCCGTTGTTGCCATTGTCAGAGGCCCGATTTAACCAGAATGGCATTTAGATTTGAACCAGTTTTTTAAATGATGACTAATGTTTACCGCTAGTCTGAAGAACTTTGAATCCAGTTTAGTAGCTTGGAAAAGTACTGATAGACTTGATCGTTTTGTTGATTTAGAGAAAAAGATAAGTACTGTTTACTTGATTGATGCTTAATTAAGTGTACTGCGTTGATTTTTTTATAAGCTGCCTTGATTCTGATTCACATTTTACGTTAAGCTAAACATTGTCAGAGTTTTCATAATAAAACGTTATTCGACAAACTAAAGTAAGCCATTGCGATTGCCAAATTTTATAGACGCTGGTCGCCAGTTGGTCTGTTACTTTTTCTACGTCAGGGGTGCCCCTTAGGAAGTATATGTTGCTTTGTACTGCTAGCTTTTATCAGTTTATTATTTCAGTAGCTGAACGTAATTTACTTTTGATGACATTTAAAATACTGTAATCGGAGGAGCGGCCATGGTGGTCATGGGTTACATTGTTTACTTATGCTGCATAAGATATCATTCATCCGATGACCTTGAAACAGTTATTTTTGGTGCCTTGCAAGGTTATCCCGAAGAGTAAACAAGACGCACTATCAAGTTGGTGATAAGGGAATACTATGTATGCTTCATATACCACAGGCTAATACTGATTAAGGTTTAAGCGGTCACATTTATCTCTGATTTTAACGATAAACAGATTCCAATTCTATATAAGCAGAGCCATTAACAAGCGATGATCCCTAGTGCACGCTCACAACAGAAAAGCTCAACCAAGATGTTCCAAGTAATCATCTTTACGTTATTGATCGCGGCCGGGGCGCATCGTGGAGTCCAAGCGGATCTTTTCGAGGATACATTCGACTTGAGTAGTGAAGAATCGATTGCAGCTTCGATGGATGTTGCTTTTGGCGAATATAGAAGTGAACTCGGACCTCTTCTCCATGGACCGGTGGAGAATCTACTAGAAGCTGCTGTCGCAATGCGATGTGCCAACAGGTTAGTATGAAAGTTATTTTCTCTAAATTGAATCATTCACTAAAATTCGCTTTTCAACAGAGATTCACCCAGTTTCTCACAAATCTTCTACGATGATCCAAGTACTTGGGAGGAGTTTGATGTAACAAAACCGATAACCATCATAGTCCATGGTTGGTTGGATGATCCGGACAATGTTTGGGTTCTACAAACTGCACATGAACTTCTGAAAATCCACGATAACACCGTATGTGTGGTGGATTGGAAGTATCGAGCTCGCTACAACTATCGGCAAGCTGCTCAAGAGCACACGCCGTTTGTAGCTGATTTTATAACAAGGCTAATTTTGTTTACGCACAATGGAGGAATTCCATTTGAAAAATTTGTCCTTATCGGTCACAACTTGGGTGCTCACATTTGCGGCCAAGTCGGGTGGAATCTTGGTGGAAAAATTGGTGAAATTTATGGATTGGACCCAAATGGACCTCTGTTTGAGTATCCCGTGGATCGTGGACTGGAATTGCGTTTGGATAGTACTGATGCGGTGTATGTACAAATTATTATCACCACAAAAACTGAGCTGGGATTACTTTTCGGTCAAGGACACGATAATTTCTATCCCAACGGTGGACTATCCGCCAAAAACTGTCCACTTCCAGATACAACGTCACAGGAGTTGACCATCCGCATAGCTTGCAGTGAGTGGGAAGCTACGGAATATTTCCGACAGTCATTGGATCCTACTAATATTTACGAAGGCAGACTATGCTCAGATTGGCTATCATTTTTGGCTCATCGATGTGATGTCAATGATGCTAACATTTTGGGTATTTACAGCCACAGAGTGGGTGGCCATTTCTATTTGATCGCAGATCCTATTCTCCCCAATTATCCTGCATTCAGCAGCCATGCACACTAGCAGCTTTCTTAAAGGATAACTCACAAATATTCATCGACTGCAGTTTTTAGTTTACCTATGGTGAAGGATGTATCATTCTTACTTTTAGACATATATTTTATGTTGAAATAAAGTATTAAATAATAAGCTAACTTAACACTTTTGTTTTGCAGTATTGAAACAAGCAACATTCAGTTGCAATCCAATTGTTATTCCTTTGAAAATACTTTAGATATCGAACGGGTTTGTTTCATATTTGGTGAAACGATGATAGTTATATGCATGAAAATCCATTGAGGACGGCGTTCTTACTTCCTTCGCTCATGTTTATTGCGAGAAGTGTCATGCAAATTTTTCCAAAAATTACAGCACCTAAACAAGTTGATGATCTAAGTTTTATGCATGGGCCTTGCCAAACTACCATCCCCGCTCTTCACTAGACTTAATCAGAATTGACCTCAATGAAATCTATTAACCTTTTACGAAGTATTTTTGAATCTCAGGCAGCGCGTATCTCTACTAAGATTTATGTACTGTTAAAAGTGGATAATTTTTGCCCACCTGTTGGTCGTATCCGTTTTTAGTTAAGTGCGCAGTTGCTGAGAATTACATGAATGCAATTTGTTTTTCATACTAGAAAAACCACGGAGGTGGTTGTCTTCTGGGAGAACAAAACACACCAAATTTTGCTGATTTTAGACTTGATGAAAGATTAGCAAACGCTCCAGCAAAATAATGCTGCTGAATTGTTCAGCAATTCCTACTTATGTCAAAATGACAACCTTTTACTGAAAATCAGCAATCGAATTTGTATTCACTATATGAGCTTCCAGCTGCTGTAAAAGATCGTTGATACAAATATACGAATAATAAAGATAAAATCGCAAGACTCTTTTCCAAGTATCATTTATTAAATACCTATACCCAGTGTCCGAGCCAGTGTCCTTACCTACATAATTTTATTTATTTCTAGTTTTTTTTTTACCTCTTCCTCCTCCTGCGGTTTGACCGGTGGTGTACGACTGCAAAAATACGTGCGTCTGTGATGCTAACAGTTTGACAGCTCTTTGACTGGGTGTTAGTTGTTTGCTGTTTTTTAGTAAAGCATTGGATTGCTGATCATGATCCAGCAATTCGTTTTACTGATAATGAAAACTTAAATTTGGTGTGTAGATTGATAGGGTGTACCTATACACTAAACACCATCAAATCCGACAGGTGTCGCCCCAAATCAAATCTCAGCACTGATGTTTTCACACAGATCACGAAGCAGATAATACAGTAGGTTGATCCATAGATCAAATGTTAGGAAAGCGCTTATTTATGTCTATGAAAACTCTTTAAAATCTTACATCGATAAAAACATTAGTTTTATAATTTGTTTGAGAGAAGAAATAGAACATTTTTAGGTTAGAATAGCATTTGACCCCAGAATACTACCTTTGATTTCCTGTTAATAACATTTTGGAAAGATCGCAACAAGAGTTATTTTTGGTAGAATCAGCATGGGACTTAACGAAGAATGTTTGACGGAAAATTCACCTTTCAGTCCGTTTCGCTGTACCCGATGCGATTAGTTCTTTGTAAATATATTTTGGTAGAACTCTTTCCTTGAAGGCACCAGTAGTTGACTCGAAAGCATGACTGCCTCTTACTACTGAGTCTGGGTTCAATATGAGGCGATCAATCTATGGTTCACGTCTAGGGTCCTTGTAATTGGTATGTACATTTCAAACAAATACCGACGGAGAATAAACAATTATTTCCTCCTAGTTAAGATTAAAACCATTCGGTAGAAGCTTCTCTCAATACTGATTGAAAGGAACAATTCGCTTACGTTTGCTGTCTTCATCAAACATAGATTAAATGTTGTTTGAATTGTATGTTTAACAAAAATGTAAGCTCGGGTATGACAACAGATGGTCTGCATTTCAACAAACATAATTATCAACAAACTCTAAGATTTGAGAACCTATTGCATCATGCTTTTCATCTACTTTCTCTTTGCTCATAGCATGTTGTAACGTCTTCTCAGATAGGTGATCGATGTTCAAACATAGATTGACTATTTAAGCAATGGCTGGCAACTTTCATGAACATAGAACAGGTTCGTCCCTTCTTTGCTCGAGATGTTTCGAACGGCTCTTTTATCGATCCTGACAGTGCTCACCGCTCTGGGTGGAGCCAACTGCGGTTTGTTAAATATCTTCAACAGCTCATCAGATTACACATTAGCAAGTGCATTGGATATCTCATTCGCCAAGGCAAAAAACGACGTAGGATTATTGCTCAAGGGCGAAATCACCACACCGATCGAGGAGGATGTCACGTTCTGGTGCGGCAATAGGTTTGTTTGATATTCGATACGTTGTACGTAAGAAATTATTGCATCACATTTCATATTTTTTTTTATTCATAAGGAAATTGCCTGAGCTGAATCAAACCTTTCTGGATGACCCCGATGTCCAACAGAAGATTGACTTCACCAAACCGATTATGTTCATCACACACGGATGGTTGGAGAATCATGCTATCAACTGGATGCGACAGACGGCTGAGGATACACTGAAATTCATCGATACCAACGTTTGTATTGTAGGATGGGATCATCTGTCAAAGTACGTCTACTATCAAGCGGCAAGAGAAAATACACTGCTCGTATCGGGATACATGACTCGATTTATCAACTTCCTGGATAAGAATGGAATGTCTTTGGGTAAGGTAACCCTGGTAGGACACAGCTTGGGTGCACAGGTTTGTGGTCAAGTTGGTTACAACCTTGACGGAAGACTTGGAGAGATCTACGGACTAGATCCTGCGGGTCCACTGTATACCTTTCCCTTAGATCATGGACTGCAATACAGACTGGATAAAACTGATGCCCAGTACGTTCAGATGATTCTTACTTCCCGATATACACTGGGTGTAGGAAAAGGAGATGGACACGATAATTTCTACCCCAACGGAGGAGATGCCCCGCAACCGAATTGTGTCATTCCACTGACGAGCGATGCTGAGATGGTTGATCAGATAGTTTGCAGCCACTTGCATTCAACTTCATTGTTCCGACTGTCACTGGATCCAGCCATGGTTTACAAGGGAAGAAAGTGCTTTAATTGGATGTCTTACTTCCTAAAATCATGCGTCCTGAACCCAGCGAATATTATCGGTATCCACCATAGCAAGAAGGTTGTTGGTGATTTTTACCTGAAAACTTCAGCTGATTCACCGTATGTGGACTAAAGAAAAATGTCATGAATGACAGCAAAATGCACAAAAATGTTAATCTTTAAAATAATAAACCTATAAGTTTAAATAAAATTCACCCCGTTTTACTATTATTTTTACACTATAGTTGCATAAGTATATAAAATTGCGATTTTTTATCTCTGAAATAAAATTTAAAGAGCAGTAACTTTTTTGGATACCCATTTTCTAAAATCTTTGCTGCTGGTTGGCGATTATTCGAAATTTCAACGATACAGTTTTGAGCGTAGTTGATTGAATCTGCAAGAAGTTTCAGCTGTTTTAGGGAAACGCTTCTTTTTGGAACAGCATATTTTCACACTGCCGTACTCTAGCGGAACTATAAATCTATCCTCTTCAGACCATTATCTAGCTAATACATTATCACACTAAAGCTTCATGTTAGATAGCATTTCCAACCAACTCTGAACATTTAAAACTTCACGTATGAAGTAACATAAAAAAAATAAACTTTGAATATATCAACTCAAGGCGGGAGTAACCTTCAACAATGCTGATGATGGTACAGTACGCAACAACTACCCTACTGTTTTCTCTCTTAGATGACTATGTTGGTCATGACCAAAGGAGGAACACAATAGTTGGGTAAACAAGAATTGCATTACAGGTATACGTCGATATAACGTAACTGTAACTTTTGGCTTCAATTGTCGATATCTCGAAATTGACTATTCAATCATACAAATCACTTTTACCAATAGATGGGGGATTGTTTCATCTGTACGATGTTGGTATTCTTTTTTGTATGATCGATTGCGAGAAATCGGCGATGGAAGTCAAAAATGACAGTTACGTCATATTGAGGTATATTTGTATAACACACCATCGACTGGAAATGCTTTTGGCATTGTGGGATTTGGGTAGTGATAAAACGTCGCTAGAACTATTCCACAGCCGCAGACAGTATATGAGGAAGTCAAACGCGCACTTTTTTGCCTGTAGATTTGAAGAAATACTTCAAATCTCCTCATACATACATTGTATGAGTTAGGTAAAGCAATGCGCGTTTGATTAGGATGCATGCACTCGACTCATACGATGAGTCTAGAAGTGTTGGCGGGCATGTTGCCACTATCGGATCGGTTCTCGGAATTGTCCCTCAGGCTCCTCACCCGTTGCGAAGTTATGAACCCACTGGTAATCGAAAACTTTGAAAAGCTTCTTGAGCTGAACCCTCAAACTCGTTTTATGTCATTGTACTACGTGTACATAACACAGAATGTCAGCCCTTCACAGCATAATCCTCATCGTGTATGCTTCTCCGACTTCGGCAATTCAGTTAGTTTTGATTTATCTATGACGCGGGAGATTCGTGGGATCCCAGAACATCATCGTTCCATGATTGTTCCGTCAATTTACGCTGCAAAGTTTGGCCAAGTTGATTCCGCAAGATCGTTCTTCACAGATGGATCACTAATAGAGTCGTCCGCTGGTTTTGGTATTTTTAACGAATTTCATAGCGCCTCTCGAATGCTTCAAGCTCCTTGTTCCGTATATGTTGCTGAGCTGGCGGCAATACATTATACGCTAGAAACGATCGCCTCACTTGCACCAGATCATTATTTTATTTTTACGGATAGTCTCGGTTCTGTCGAGGCTATTCGCTCTATGAGGCCGGTAAAGCACTCCTCGTATTTTCTCATGAAAATACGAGAGCTTTTAAGTGCTTTATCTTTAAGATCTTTTGTCATCACCTTTGCATGGGTCCCATCTCATTGCTCGATTCCGGGCAATGAGATGGCTGACTCACTTGCTAAGGTGGGCGCTATGGAAGGCGATATTTACGATCGACAAATCGCCTACGATGAATTTTTCTTCATTTATCGTCAACAGTCCCTCGTCAGCTGGCAGAATAAGTGGAGTGAAGGGAGTTTGGGACGATGGCTATATTCGATCATCCCTAAGGTGTCGAAGAGTTCTTGGTTCAAGGGGTTGGATGTGGGTCGAGACTTCATTCGTATGATGTCTCGCCTCATGTCCAATCACTATTCGTTAAACGCTCACTTGTTCCGTGTTGGGCTGAAGGACAGCAGTCTCTGTGAATGTGGACAAGGCAGTCTTGTAAGCGGTCACAGTAGTCGACACATTTTCTGTGATATTCGACTGCCTTTGCTTGCGACAGTTGCAAAACAAGCTATCAAATTACAGTACCAAACTAAAATGTCATTTGATAGGCTCTGTCATACGACACTGTTGTCGAAGACCGTCACGAATGTATGTATTTTAGTTTTTCTCATAACAAGAGCTGCTGATGTTGTGCTTGTGTGAATTCTGAAAATAGCAAGCAACGATGTCCTAGTAATAATATTTCTGATTAGAAATGGTTTAATTTACACCAAATTGAGGAATTAGAACGAAATCCCACATGTCATATGAAAGTTATTTGAAAATTTTCTTTTTGCTCGAATGTTGTTCTACCGTTTGTGTTGTGTAAGAGAGACGACGGTAGAGCATGAGAGTACGAATACAAACAGACTGTCGCGCACGGCAACGAAGCGAGTGTAGTAAAAAACGTCAACGGTTTACATCCCTGGGACAAGGTTACCAGGACGCAGATCACATTATTTGGTATTGTGCTGAGCATCGCGGAGTCAGATCTGAACTGTACGATTCCCTTCGGGCTCGAGGTAGACAACCTAATGTTCCAGTTCGGGATATTTTGGCTAGACGCGATCTGGAGTTTATGAAACTCATATATGTTTACTTTAAGAATATTAACATTAGATTGTAAGTTTTATTAACCGTGTGTTTAGTTTGTATTTTGTACGTGTGAGTTTTTTTTATGTTTGTTTTCAAGATGAATAGAAATTAGTTCATGTTTTAGGATTAATTAAATATTTGTATCGTAAACCACAATTCAAACCTCCCTCTCCCTTTTCCCATCCAAAAGAAATTGTAAATCCCCACTAACCTCGAGACAACCGCGAGTATCCGGTCCAGCTCCTTTAATTTTAAATATAAGAAATCAATAATGTATAACAAAAATGATAACTCGGCTCTGTAAAGTTTGTTCGATTGAGCCTGTACCAATAAAGTAATTATTAAAAAAAAAAAAAATGCGCGTTTGAGTAGTACTGTCGCATTAATGGCCCTTCGCTCATTTTCAACTTCTATTCAATTTTCATACTACCGTTCTCTAGCGGAGCTATCCACCTACCCTCTTCAGACCTTTCTCTAGCTAATAAATTATCACACTGAAGCTTCATGTTCGATAGGATTTCCAACCAACCCACCCATTCTTGTTCCCTGGATCCCTTGAACAAAAAAAAAATGGAATATTTCTACCAAAGATGACTTCTAAATTTATTCACCTTTCCATACGTACCGTTGGATTTGATACATAGTCACAAATTGTTGAGATATTGTTTAAATCTAATACTGCTTCTTGATTCTCAATTCGTTATACGAGTTTCAATTCCGTGCAAAGGCATTGAAACGCCATTAGAATGTAGAAAAAGGGGATTCGTTAGGAGCGCTTCTTTTGTTTGGAGAACAATGAGCGTAAATATTCATACAATGCACTCGAATAGGATTTATGGTGTAGCTAACTAACTTACGCATCGGAACAAACCTATTTTTGATTTGTGCACGGTGAAATCATTGATATAATTAATCTTTTCTGATCGATAGAACGGAAATGTGCGATTACGACGAAGTAGCGCTCTACCCTACGTATGCTGATGAGATTTAGCAACAGATTAATTATATCTGAGTCAAGGTGAAGGTATGTTATTTCCTTGGTGTATTTACCAAGCACTCAAGTTAATATATAGCCTGATATTGCCATAAGCTTGTACAAATATACTTCCATGATCATAAGCATAGTGAAGGGGACTAACTATAAAAGCTTTTAAGTTAAAAGAATTGCATGATTATATTTTGTTTTACTTGTCGTGAAACATGCATCATTCAATAGTTTTGACTAGTTTATTTGCCTTGTTAACACTTCATGGAGCAATTTGTGACCTTGTGGATATTTTCACCACAAGCTCTGGGTTTAACTTGACCTTTGCAGTTGATATTGCTTTTGGTTTAACCCCTGACCCTACTGGGTTGGTTCTACAAGGACCAGTAACAACTCCGATCGAAGAAGATGTAACATTTTGGTGCGCTAGCGAGTGAGATGATAAGATTTTTAAATTGTGAAGTGATCATTGTTATGAAACATTCTTCCAGGACTCTTGTTTCTTTGCAGCAAGTCTACCTCGACGATCCAGAAGTGTGGGATAAAATTCAGTACACAAAACCGTTAACTTTCATCATGCATGGATTTATGGGAAATGTTACGGATGCATGGATTCAACAGTCTGCCCAGGAAATACTGCAGTACACTGACGATAGTGTTTGCCTCGTGTCATGGGGTCGTTTGGCGCGCTACATTTACCCTCAAGTGGCTCAGCAGCACACGTTACTAGTTTCCGGATACCTGACCAAGTTCGTAACGTTTTTGAATCAGCAAGGAATGCCTTTGGGAAAGTTAAGGTTCGTGGGCAACAGTTTAGGAGCACACGTTTCCGGTCAAGTTGGATATAACCTGGGAGGAGAGATTGGAGAGATCTACGGTTTGGATCCTGCAGCTCTGCTGTTTACTCGGCCAACGGATCGTGGATTGAGTTATCGGCTCGATAGCAGTGATGCTGGTTACGTACAAATGATTATCACAACGAAAAATACCCTTGGTGTACGTGTTGGTGAAGGCCATGGGAATTTCTACCCCAACGGTGGATCCTCACCTCAGAAAAGCTGCGATATTTCTGCGACTAGTGTAATTGATTTGGCAAGGGAAATTTCATGCAGCCATTCTTTTGCAGGTATTTTGTTTCAACGGTCAATAAATCCATCATTTGCTTATGTAGGACGTCAATGTAATAGTTGGATTAAGTTCAAATGGAATCTGTGCAATGCTAATCAGGCTGATGTTCTTGGGATTAATAGTAGCAAGGTAAGGGGTGATTTTTACCTGGAAGCGTAATTCA